GCTGCTACTTCTTGATCGTCTATATATTCTTTATATCTGCGGAAATGTCGAAACACTTGAATCACAATTCACAATTTCCAATTGCGAATCGTCTAAATAGAAAATAARAAATATTGTTGCAAAAGTGATCTATTGAGATTATGCTTGTCTAGTATGAGTAGAAACAATTAAGAAAGAAATATATTGATTGAAAGCTATTTAATGACTTACGATGATCGTTTTCACTATTTCTTACAGTGGACGCATTATTACCCGCAGTAGAGATATTATTCTGCAAATTTAATAACGCCTTCTAGCGTGCACGAAATKCACGARCACGTTCGGTTGAACTCTTTGGAATCTTCCTTATYGTGTTTTTCTCCTTAATTTCAGACTTTTTGTCTTTGATTAGTGGCATTTGTTAAATTGTTAAATAAATATATATAAAAAAAAATCTTCTGGCCTAAGCGAAAAGCTATGATAAGGTGGAAATGAGAAATAAAACACGTGATCGAACCTATTAGATGGGATAATAAAACCTTATTTGTTTGTTCAAGAAAAGTTTCCCTTCTTTAAAAACCCTACTTTATATAGTAGAAATATTAAATAAAAATTGAATGTTGTCCAAGTAAATATAGGACAAGTAGCTTACCTTACTTTGACTTCGCCTGTATGCAAATGCAACGACAAAGTCTTATTTATAATTATAATCATTATAATAATAAAAATAAATATAAATAATAGTGTGCTATTTAGCCTTTTTTGTCGAATTTCGACAACTCTTAGTCGCTTGTTTTGTTATTTTTTCACAGATTGTCTTAGATGTATCGTCGAAGACGTCCAATGGAGAAATAGAAAGATTTTTTTTTGTAACGGACAAAGTACGCTTTAATCGTATGTGAAAAACCGTTGATGATTACCATAGCAATGCTCTGACGTAGCAACATTACGTCACGACCTTTGTCTTAACACAACACACAACACACACAAAGCTTAGTAGCCAGGAGTGGGGACCACGAATCAAAGATCGAGAATAGGAAAAACTGTATAGATAATATTCTGTCTCATTCTCTCGTAGGCTCAATCCTATATGTTTGTCTCTTTTTCTCTTTTTCCCTACTACAACGTCCGTTACGAAGGCTTCGTTACATTTTTTCAAATCACGCCACTTCTAAAGAAGTTTTCACTTCAAAAAAAAATATAAACAAGATGAACAAATGATATTATTTGAAATTTTACCTGATTATTAATACACGGGAAGAGAGAAATATTAGTGAGCGTTAACTAGAATGTTATCCCATCATTTAAAGCGAATGACTATCGTTGCTTGACTGCGTATCAAAAAAGGTCTTATTAATAATTCATYCCTCCTTAAATCACTACCATCTCCACAAAATCCATAATAATTATCATTTTATATTACGACCTATATTCATTACGTCACTCACAGTTACGGGTTATACAGATTAAGAWATTTTTCTAGTCAATTGATTAWCTTTGTCTGCTTACATTGTAATTATTTTTTTATATCAATTACTCATAGTTCCTTCAATCAATGGATATTTCATAAAGTAGATCTTCTTTTAGGATGAATATTAAAAAAAATGTATTTCCTATTAAACAATCCTAGAAATTAGTAGTTAATATTCAACTGTGTTAATAAATCTTATATTATATATATATATATATATATTGTTATTAATACAAAAGAAATGTCTGTTCTAGCCTAAAAATGTGGATTTTTAGTTCGATTTTAAGATTACTTAGGCAATAAATATGAAGCTTTAAAGTGTAAGCACTTTATTCTCCATGGAATAATTAATCGTGTTTTATATTAATGCTTCATGGGTAAAACAAATATTATATTCCCTAAAAGTAGAAGATATATATAATTTTCTTTAAAAATAATTAAGTCCACACACTACGTGCACTCGAAATAAACGGAATAAATTAAGAATAAATAACTAATTAAAAATATTTTATCTTATACTTAGGAAAAATATAGCAAAAAAATACACTAAAATTTAAAAAAACCTTAAAATTCCTAAAATTCTTTAAAAAACGACATTAAAAACATATTTAACTGTAATCCTTTTTTTCTGAAAAAAAGCAATCTTTTCCATCAAAGGTTAAGGAAAAATTCCAAAGAACTGTAAAAAGTCATTAAAGTGTCCTGGTTTTAGATTTTTTACAATGCATTAGTATTCTTATTTACTTAATAAATTTAGATTTTTGAAAACTGCGATAGAAATATCTCATCTTATAAAGAGATTTATTTTTATGCCAGATATCGTTATAAAGTTTCTATTTTTAATTTATTTCATATGTTGTTGACAAGGTAAACAAACTATAGATAACCTGCTGCCCGGACAGTTTTAATATGTCGTCTGAACAAACGATCGTGCGTTGTTTAGGAAATCAATGATTGCCTAAATTTAAACAAAATGCTTGAGGCGAGAGAAACATTTTTAATGTTCGGTTTTCTACGTATCGACCGAAGTAAAAATTCAAATTCGAAAAAACAGTTTTTTATGGTTACTGCGTTACCTAAGTTAACTTAAAAAAAAAAAAGGCAAAATAAAATTTATATGCAAGTGAAAATGATGAAGCATATTATACATAACATTGCATACTCTCAGTCGTATTGATATTTTTATAAATGATAAATATTTTATAGTCACATCCTATTCGTGCCTAGGTGGAAGTGGTGAAAAAGAACGCTATGAAATTTTTAGTTTGATATAATGAACATTAGAGGGCATTCAACGAGTAAAAAATGGTGTAATAATTCAGCTACAATTGAGCTTACTATAATTATTTATTATAATTTATTTTAACAATTATAGAGTATTTATTTTATTATATTTATTCAGTTAAAATAAGTCTTTAGAGATCTATCCACATTTTCCGATTCAGATGTACAAAAATAAAATCATAAATAAAACAACAAATTATGAAACAGTAATTATTTTGTTTTT